GTTTCCCGCCAACCCCTTCCCGCCATATGTTCCTGCCACCCGTTTCCCGCCAACCCCTTCCCGCCTTATTTTCCCGCCATACTGCAGTTATTTTTTCCCGCCATACTGCAGTTATTCTTTCCCGCCATTTTCTCCTCTGTATCTATAAAATCCCCTTCCGGTGGAGGTGGATAAGCATTCCAGTGTAGTGTAGTCGAGATGTCCCATTATCCATTCGATCGTAGTTTTCACCCTTAGATGAGCAGCACTCTGCTGAGTCTAGCTACCGATTTCAGGATGGACAATAGGATAGTTTCATGGGACGAACTCACCGGTAGTGACACCATAATGAATGAGTTGGCTCACGGATTACGTAGGTCTGGGTGGCCTGAAAGGACCTATGAGGAGGTACGTAAAGAACTTCTTAGGTTGCATGAAAGGTGGAAGAAGGTGGTGGAGCCGAAGAGTGAAACTTTCAGAAGGACTGCAGAAAAGCATCCATTTTTATGGACTGAGGAGAGCGAGGACGACGATGATATCTTCATGCCGCCGCTTCCGGGTTCTACATCGTCGAAGGGCAAGAGTTCTGCATCGTCCAAAGGCAAGAGTTCTGCATCCTCGAAGGGCAAGAGTTCTGCATCGACCAAGGGCAAGAGTTCTGCATCGACGGAGGGCAAGAGGACCGCATCGTCGAAGAGCAAGAGGGCTGCATCAACGGAGAATGACGATGATGACTTCATGTAGTATGTAAGATGTATTCCCGTTGTACCGTTTCATTCATATGTATTTGCATTATTAGTTTGTATTGTATTATTGTAGGGCATTATGTTCTATCTGAATTTCATTTTGTAGTATGTAAGATGTATTGCACAAGTTCAGCCGCACCGTTTAATTCAGACGTACTTGTATCTTAATTATCGGTTGTAGTCTATTCGGAAATGTAACTGGAATAAGAATGCGAATTAATAGTAATATGTCTCTCGCATACATAAAACAATATATGTCTCCTGATCAGATAGAAGCAAGTGTGATAGTAACACATACATGAAGCATGTCTCATACATAAATACTGACACACAGCTGCGAATAGTCTGAAACTAACATAGATAATGAGTCATACATAGATAGACAAGCATATCACTGCGGGGGACGACGACGAGTCTGGGTCTTCCTCGGGCGAGGACCAGAAGACGATAAGCGCTGAGGCGGTGGACGAGGCTTGCGATAACCACGACCATATTTAACCTTGTCTGTCACGGTCTGTGTCTTCTGTGTCGGTGGTGGTGGTGGAGTGTGAAACACTGTCTGCGAGAAGCCATAAATGTTTGTAGCTTGGTCATCATCCTCGCGGTCGCCCTCAAAGTACGAAGCACCACCACTAAGGATCGGTGACTGCTCTGAATGCATGAACGGTTGCGACTGGTTGCGGCTAGCGGTAAAGTAAAACATGTAAAATTGATACAAATGCATGAACGAAGCACCACTAGTAAGCATCAGTGACTGCTGAGAATGCAAGAACGATTACTACACTGTTCAAAAGAATGTAGTGAGTAGTGTTACCTAGTTCCATCTGCTGATGCCAGGAAGAGCTCCCTGGCTGTGAAGGAGGTGGCTCATGCCAGGAAGAGCTCCCTGGCTGTGAAGGAGGTGGCTCATGCCAGGAAGAGCTCCCTGGCTGTGAAGAAGGTGGCTCATGCCAGGAAGAGCTCCCTGGCTGTGAAGGATGAGGTTCTGCACGGTGCACAGAGGGTCGTGGTTCTGAACGGTGCACAGAGGGTCGTGGTTCTGAATGCTGTACAGAGGGACGTGGCGGACGATGTGCTGGAGAAGGAAGTGCAACATCCGAAGTCCATCTACATGTAACAGCTGCGTAAATCCCGCGTAGCTTGTCATCAAGACGCCTCAACCATGAGATGCCCTCTCGCGGTGGGATAGTTTCTCCCCTCTAAAAGCGCCGCATTAAAGCGGAAACCTCCTCTCGCGTCTGTACTGTCAAGTCACCCTGTACACAAAGAGTTAACCAATTATATCCTCGTTGTATGATAGACACCACGAATAGACAACCAAGCGAATATGTCCAGATTAACAAAAGACTTAACATATGAGAACCAAGGCATTTACCGCGTGGTGTCTGGTTCCCACAACAGAGGCAGTTGGGTATATATCGCTGGTGAGAGGGGCTTCGATCTGATCAGGAGCAGCTAATGGAACCAAGTAGATCCTCGTTGTATGCCGGTAACGCTGCAGATACAACCCGAACATTTTCCAGTTAAAGGGCCGAACCTCACCCCAGATATTTGTCGTAGCGGTAGTCCATTCGTCAACATAAGGGGTAATGCTCTTAAGCCAATAAGCCATGGACTTGTTTCCTCCTAGGCGACTGTCCCTGAGATTGACATGCGCGATACATGATTAGGTATATTATGAATGCAGAGTTGACAACTAAAATAGTATTAGTACTTACTTGTGCACGTGTTCTGGCAAGTGTGGAATATCTGGAATCTCAGGCTCTTGATATATATCGAACTGTCTCATCACCCTATGAAGAGACATCTCCTCAACCGTCACGTCGAACACCAACTCGGCCTTGGTCATCCAAAAGTGCCGATCTCTAGTGCACAATCCAGAAATCCCAATTGGGTACCTCGATGATATAGCCTGAGGCGAGTATGGCTCCCAAATAACTTGATCCTCGTGCAAACTATCAAACTGCGCCATGAAGGACGTGTAGCATCCCCTAACCTGAGTATGCGCAAACTGTCTCTGTGCATGACAACAAATAAGCATTAGTAATACTATTGAATGGTAAGAGATAATTGAATTAATTGTTACTTAATATAAAAGTACCTCTCGCCGTGCCCAAACAGATCCCATGGTAGGTAAGTCGCCGATAGCAGGCACATAAGTCCCAGCTATGTCCTCCAAACCAAAAGGTTTATCAACGTAGACATAGGGTCGTCCAATAGGAA